ATATATATATATATATATATATATATATTATATATATATATATATATATATATATAGGTCTTCAACATTAATGCTCAAGGTTTTCAAAAATTATAATAATTTCTCCATGTTTCACTTATAAATGCGCTAGTGTAATCAATAAAGCACAAATACAGATCGTTCATTTAAATCATTCTTTCTGAAAGAGTTCTCAATATAAATATGGCGATGTTTGTGCCCCTACTTTCAACAAATCCACACTGATTCAAATTCAGATTCAACATAATGCTATATAGCGACTCTTCGCCGATGTCGATTTTTAGAATACTTAGCAAAGACATTCAAAATCGAAATAGCATGTTCTTACCTGTGAGCCAGCTCATGCGTAGCCACTTTGATGCACTGAAAGTCGCCAATATCGAACACAATAGATATGGCATTGCCGGATTGGACGTCGCAAATTGCTTTCAGATAGGCCATTCCTGTTGAAATCGTTTACATATATCGAAATTCTATTCTGGCGGAAATTAGGTGGGATTAATTCGAGAGAGGTGGAGAAATAATAAAAATGTCTGGACAACCGTAGGTATCAACAAAGACAATGAAAAGAAGATGGCGCTATACTGAGCACCTGTTAAGAAGAAGCCAGGGTGCTTTATTAATATCCTACCCGAGATGACGTCGCAGGACAGTAAAACATTTCAGAGTCGTAAGACTGGGTTTCCCGGCTTTCTGATGCTCTTAACGACCCCAAAACATCTAGAACTGGCACTAACCCCAACCCACCTACGTCCCATGACTACATGCAGCTTAGGTCCCATGACTGTATGCAGTCTATATCCCACGACTGCATGTAGCCTATCTACCACTCCCTGAAATATTAGACTGTCTTATTACCTGTTAATTTACCCAGTTTAGGGTAGGATATTATTAAAGCACCGAAGCCAGCAGCAAATCACTGCTCAGGTGGTGTAATGGAAAGCAAATGAATTGGGGAAACAAAGATTGTGACATAAATCCTAAGACGAACGTTAATGAGAGAGACCAAAGGTGCTGGACTGGTTTTCAAAAACATCGTACTGAAGAATTGCACAGGATACATCAGAACGGTGAATAGACTGCTAGCCTTATGTGACATTTAAGGGTACAGTAGGCTGATGATGTTGTTGCAGATGATGATGATGATGATGATGATGTGCATACGTGCGTTCCGGTTTTTCTCTCCGGGCTGCTACCTCTTCAGTCTGACACCTTGAGATCAGGTGACCTGATTCTAGATGTCAGACTAACAGGACATGAAGGTTTGACACCGTAAGACTAAAGACATTTCCGTGTTAGTGTCAGACCAACAGGACATGAAGGTTTGACACCGTAAGGCTAAAGACATCTCCGTGTTAGTGTCAGACCAACAGGACATGAAGGTTTGACACCGTAAGACTAAAGACATCTCGGTGTAAGTGTTACACCAACAGGAACACTCCCTGATACCCCGTTCAATCTACAAAGAAATTATAAATAGATGTCAGCTATGCCTAAATAGCTATGCCTAAATAGCTATGCCTAAATAGCTATGCCTAAATAGCTATGCCTAAATAGCTATGCCTAAATAGCTATGCCTAAATAGCTATGCCAGCTTTATGAAACCTGCAGTTTCTATGCTAGTATGGATGTGGTGGTGGGGTGTGGTGGTGGTGATGATAGTGATGATGATCATAATTATGATAGATAAGCCACTGAAACTGTGATCAATGCACCTGTCTTGAGGCAGAAGTCTACGTTCAATCCTCGAAAGAGTCACAATGACTTTCCCTATCAGTGCTTCGCTGCAGACTACCCAGCCCTAAAAGATGGACTTAAAAAAAGTTACCTGCGTATCATTTACATGACGTTGCAGAACCATCCTCATCATGTTTGGCCTTTGAAGTTTTTCTAGGCAAATTTACGTCCAGTAGTTCGCCATTGCTTTCTGGACGGCCGGCTTATCTAAACTACTGTTGAAACCAACCCAAGGCGCAAGTTCCGTAGTTGGGATCGAACCCTGCAGACGTTCGCAACGGCTACGCCACAGACGCCGATTGGGACCTGGAGATTTTCAGAACTTTCTAGAAATTCTCTAGTAAGGTCATGTGACAAGGACAGGAAAAGGACCCCCCCCCCCCACAATTCGCCCTATTCCTTAATGCTGTTGCCTAAAATATTGGACGACCCGACAATTGAAAGAAAAAAAACTGAAACCAGTAAGTTATGTAAAATCAACACAGGAACATCCAAGAAAGAAAAACAGAAGTGGACGAACAGCCAGCCCATGTTTTCGCATTTGACAGCCGGTGACTGTGAGGAAGCCACTGGTTCCGGCAGCTTACCGCCTAATGTAGCTTCCTCTGAGTTCGTCAGTCTGTACCTGTGGGGCAAAAATAACAGCACCAATAACAATAAACATAGCTTTTTATTATCATCATCATCATCAGGTGCCTTGCCGACTGGCGTGGGCGATCATGCCTCTCCATAATCCACAATCTCCTGCAGCATGTATCAGTTCGTGTGCCGACACACCTACATGCCATGCAACAAGACTGCCAAGAATCTTCTTTCGTTGTCTTCCTCTATCCCTACTTCCACAGATCTTTCCAGTGGTCACAACATGTTCTATTTTCCCTCTTCTCAAAACATGGCCGAAAAATGATGACTGTCTCCTTCTGATGTCAGTGATAAGTTGTCTTCGGGCTCTCGCCTCTTTCACAACCTCTTGGTTGCTCTTTTTTGGCTGTCCAAGGTATTTTAAGCATTCTTCTGTAAAACCACATCTCTGAGGCCTCAAGAAATTGTTTGGGCTGCCTACCGATTGTCCACGATTCACAGCTATATGTTAAAACTGGATGTATGTAGCAAGCAAACAATTCTTTTTCTAACTCTCAATGACAAGGATATATGGCACAAGATGTTTTTAATTTTATAAAATGCAGTTTTTGCCTGTCCTATTCTTTTTCTTATCTCAGTTATGCATCTTCCATCTGATGTTATCCATGTGCCCAGATACTTAAATTTATGTACTTGTCCTAAAATAACACCATCAACTTTTATTACACATTTAGGAACAATTCGTTTCTTTGATACCACCATTACTTCTGTCTTCCCATTATTCAAACTGAGGCCCATACTTCCACTTTCTAACACAACAATGTCTATCATTTCCTGTATTTCTATTTGACTTGTTGCTATCAAGACTGTGTCATCAGCGTAACGTAAATTGTTTATATTGTGCCCACCAACAACTATTCCGGGCATATCAGTTAAAGATCTCATTATATATTCACTGGATATTGAAAACAAATCAGGTGATTGTACACACACCCTTGTCGTACGCCCCTCTTTATGCTTTGAAATGTACCTAAACAGTTGTTAATTCTTATAGCTGCTGTTTGCTGCCAATACATATTCTTTATTATTCGTAGATCGTTTCCATCAATGTTTAGTTTTTCTAACAGTTTGATTACTTCTTCATGCTTCACACAGTCAAATGCAATTATTATAATTATTTGTAACAGGAAAAACTTTGACACGAGGCAAACAAACAACCCGCCACATGATTTGTATGAGAAATGCTGTGAACAAAACCCCAAGAAATCGCGCGAGAAAGGAAGAGATTAGAAGAACTATTCGAACGATGCAAAGCTTTGAATTCATTTAGAAACAACAAATAAGTCATTCAATCAAAAGATTGCAAATCAGCACAACTTAACAAGCTACCGAGCGCGCCCTAGCTCGCCTACATATAATTTGTTACACAGCGACGCCTGGCGGGACCAAGCGGATTGTGACACGAGGGGGAAAAAGGGAAAACATGTGAGGGAAAAGCCAAATAAAACAAACAGTTTTACAGAAAAAGAAGTGGATGTGAGTGAAAACATGTGAGTGAACTATGGATACAAGAAACGGAAAGTTACAGAAAATCGCGTGTGTTTAATTCAGAATCGTCTAGTGCATATTCATCATATAATCAAACTATATATCATCAAAATAGGAAATTACAGAGGTAAATGATAAACAAACTTTATGATCGTCCTTATCTGTTTAAAATAGTCAATAGTCATAATATTTTTAGCAGTAGTAGTAATACTCAAAGCAGCAGCAGCAGCAATTCGTTTTAAATTGCACCAACTGACAATACAAATTATATGGGTAATGAGGAGGTGTGAATTTTCATTTTAATAACCCTGTTTTACCCATAACATGCAACGACAAAAGATACGCAATGTATACAACTTACACTAAGAGTGTCCGAGATGACCCAAAGTGATAAAAGGTAGAAACTGACATATAACAAGGTGGTTAGAATAAATAAGAACCTAACATAATATACTTTAACAAATATGAATAAAATGAGAAAATGTATGAAAAATATTTTAAAATATGTTTAGTTAGTTGCGTTTCCTTTACAGAACGTTGCAGAACCAACCCCATAATTGTTTGGCTGTTGTTATTTTTCTAGTCCAATTCCAATTCCAATTCGTCCAACAAAAATTCCAAATTTGATCCTTTTTCAGCCACCCGGAGGCCTGCTATATGAAGGAAGGTTCCTTAGCTGTCTTATTTGGTTTCCTTTTATTTGTGGTGTGAACTCACACCTGATATTCCGGTTTACGTCCTTATGTACCAAATGCCTTCTAGACGGTCGGCTTCTCAATACGACTGTCGAAAACAACGCAAGGCGCAAAGCGTTGGTAACGCCTAAGCCACAGACATGTATATGTATACATATAGTAAAAGATAATCAAAAGTCAAATCAGTACTGTTGTATGAAGCGGAAACATGGAGAACAACTAAGGTAATTACTAATAAACTACAAACATTCATTAACTGGTGCCTGCGCAGAAAAGAAGGTATTCGCTGGTATGATAGAATCACTGATGTAGAACTTTGGGAAAGAACTAAGTAAGCTCCAGTGGACCAAGAGATGAAGAGAGGCTGGCGTTGGATCGGACACATGCTGAGAAAACCTCAGTACAATATAACTAAAATGCCTTTGCAGTGGAATCCACGGAGGCACAGAAATAAAGTAAGACACACAAAAAAAAACGGCGAAGAGAGACAGAGAGAGAAGTTAAAAAGATGTGGAGGACATAAGGAAAGCTGCATGCAATAGCGAAGGATAGAACGACTTGGCGTGAGTTCGCTGAGGGAACATGCTCCACTGAGGACTAGAGGTCAGAAGATGAAAAAGAAAAGAAAATTGAATCTGTGAAAACAGTAGGCAATTATCTTGAAGTCCCTGCAGTTTCTGAAGCTCCACGCTGTAGTTTGTGAAACTTATACCTAAATCCGGCATTTAATAAAACACACTATGGTAATAAAGATATATATCTGTTTCTCATTCCTTCAATCATTTATTTAACATTATCTCACCACACAAACTTTACTGTCTTTGGCACCACACGCAGCAAGAAAGCAGGACTTTGGCATTGGTGTTGGCACCTTTTCGTCGTTCCAGACGATAGTTTTTTTTTTTTTTTTTGCGCTATGAGGAGGCATGAGACTCACAGCCCATGGCGATGGCGAGTGTGACTAGCAAGACCCGCTCCTGGGTCAAGAAAAAGTCTTCCACAATTTCAGGACCATTGTTAACAACATTTGTGTTTAATCTGTTTCTTTTCAGACGCTCAGCTCTCATCCTTTCTGCAATTTTTCCTTCCTTCACTCTCATTCCCTTCCTCGTATGCCCTTTCCACACAACACGGCCCATGGCATTTTGTTCCCATGAGTCCGCCTCAATACCTGTATCATTCATGCCTCGCTTGTACACATCTTTATAACGTAGTAGACGTTGGCCTCGACATCTTCTTCTTGTCTTTAATTCACCATAAAGGATGTCCTTATGGACTCTGCCATCCTCCATTCTCCAGGTGTGACCTAGCCACCTGAGCCTTCGTAGACTGAGCATGGAAAAGACTGCTGTAGTACCTGCTCTGTCCAGTACCTCAGTGTTTGTGATTTTGTCACAAGAAAGCAGAACCACTTACCCGGTAAACAGCATTGCGTGGTCAAATTCGGGCAGACCATTGCTGCCACTGATCCAGGTAGTCAGTTTCTGAAGAGCATATTCAGCGAAGACTGAGCCTCGGCCGTGACTTCGGAGGGTAGTCCAATCCACGATATTCTCTAGCCAAGTAGATTCTTCTCGAGTCTGTCAATGCAAAACAAACAACAACAAAACCAGTAAAACGAGTTACTGTGTAACATCTTTATAATATCTATTAGTAACTTGTAACACAGCCTAGAAAGTTCGATGGAACGAACGAACGAACAAACTTTATTTTCAAAGGGTTACAAATAGGGCACGAAGGCCCGTCTTACATTTGATCCTTCCAAGCACTCATCTTTTAGGCCAGAGTTGAATGTTATCAATAATGCATGTTAAGTTTATTAAAAATAGATACATAATGAAATAATGCATACAAGTATCTTGCATACACAACCATACACACTCCGAATATACATGTTCACATCCACTCTTATATACCCATACATACATACATAGACACCATCTCATCCACACATGTATATACATACACTCGTATATAGATCCTTATAAGAATACATACACGCACTCGTGCTCACAGAGACACATACAAGTACACACATTTATGGGTACAAATGCATGTTCTCAAACTCATACATACACTCCTACACACATGCACAATCCCCTTTATGCATAAATACACGCATACATACACATGCACACAATACCTGCATCCACATACACACATACACACATACACACACACACATGCACTCTCATGCATATATACATATACATCTGCATACATATGGAGGAAGCTGAAAGAATGGCATACATAAAAAAGTAAGGATTCAAAGTCCTCATCAATGAATACAAACCAACAAAGACGTTACCGGGACAATCACATAAAACGAAAATCTGTAAAAATGGACGGGGGAAATGAAAACAAGAAAAGCTGTTGTGAAACGAAACGTGAAAGTAAGAACAGAAAGAGAAGGGGATAAAAGTTTTAAACTAAAAAAACTTGTGTGCGCATATAAATTAGAGAGTGAGTGTGTGTCTGTGAGTGTGAGAGAGAGAAGAGAGAGAGAAATAAGAGAGAGAGAGGGAGAGAGAGAGAAAGAAAACAGAGAAGAGAGAGAAAGAAGAGAGAGAGAAGAGAGAGAGAAAGAAGAGAGAAGAGAGAGAAAGAAAAGAGAGAAGAGAGAGTGAGAAAGAAGCGAGAAAAGAGAGAGAGAAGACAGTGTGAAGAGAGAAAAGAGAGAGAAAGAAGAGAGAGAAGAGAGAGAAAAAGAAGAGAGATAAGAGAGAGAAAAGAGAGAGTGCGAAGAGAGAAGAGAGAGAGTGAAAGAAAAGAGAGAAGAGAGAGAGAAAGAAGAGAGAGAAAGAAGAGAGAGAGCAAAAGAAGAGAGAGAGGAGAGAGAAAAAAGAGAGAGCGAAGAGAGAGAAGAGAGAGAGAAAGAAGAGACAGAAGAGAGAGAGCGAGATAAGAGAGAGAAGAGAGAGAGAAAGGAAAAAGAGGAGAAAGAAGAGTGAGAAGAGAGAAGAGAGAGAGAAAGAAGAGAGAGGATAGAGAGAAAGAAGAGAGAGAAGAGAGAGAGAAAGAAGAGAGAGAGAAAGAAGAAAGGAAGAGAGAGAAAGAAGAGAGAGAAGAGAGAGAGAGAGAGAAAGAGAGAGAGAGAGAAGAGAGAAAGAAGAGAGAAAGAGAAAGAATAAAGAGAAGAGAGAGAAAGAAGAGAGAGAGAGAAAGAAGAGAGAGGGAGAGGGAAATGACTCAGTTAACTTACCTTAAAGACTACAAGAGCCGACATTCTGACAGAGATTCTCAAGTGTGGTTCACTGATGGTTCCAAACCGCTGGTCAACCTGAGAAAGTGGAAATTAAAGGCCAGGTCAGAATGTCCACTAACGTGAATGTCAATCCCACTGCTTTTTGGTCAAGCAAATAAAAATAGCTGTAATCAAATACAACTTTGTATCTTGATTTATCTACCGACTTTCCCATCTGAGGGAAGAAATAACAGAGAAATCCACATACGATGTTCATTAACTTTTTATCTACCAAGCCACTACACACAATAGTTTTATTTGTTACTTTATATTTGGAAATATATATTTATATATATAGTCAAAGTAAAGGTCCCATTTTCACTTCTTTATGCGTATATGGCATATAGGGCTAGACCTATATTTTTATAGATCAATCGGCACAAGATTAGTGATGTGGTCAGCATCACGCCGGCCGCCTTTACTTTCCGGGACTGAACCCGGTACCCACTCAAGGCTGGGTCGACCTGGGAGTCAAGGTCCTTTTTGAAAAAAGTCCGGCTTCGCCAGGAAGCGAACCCACAAACTTCCGATCCACACGCGAGCGTCTAGCTGCTACGCCATGACTAATCAGAACTAACTTTTTGCCAGCTTTATGCTTTTTCTTTTTTTCTGTATTTCTATAAAGCAGACGTGGTTATGCCTTATAGGAGAGCGTGTACAGTTCGGAAGAGCAGATGGATCACCACAGTGAGATTGATGCAGCGGGGAGTGACGAGGGGTTCTGGTCGATGCTCGAGGCTCAGAGAAAAGGCAAGACAGACGTTTAATCAAAATGCTACTGGCACCAATAGTATCAGAACTCTTCGATGGCTGCTGAAGATAGGGACGGAGCGCTTATGGGAATGCCCCGAGTTTTGTGATGTCGGTTCGTTAATCAACTCAACTTATCTCTTTTGTCTTTCTAGCCCCAAACGGAGCATAGGCCATCGACCCACTCACGCCTAGTCGCCAAGAGAATAAGATGCCAACTATACAACAGAAAACTAAAAGAAAATAGGAATCATCAAAGCCCGAATATTTAATACATTAAAACAAAATTAACGCGTGGAGAGATCCCAACTAAAAAGACAATGAAATGAAAGTCGCCAAAGGCAGTGTACATTGAACCCTGCTATAAGGTGCAGAAACGTGCACACCGATATGCCAGGTAATACAGTGGCGTGTCAGGGCGTACAGTCAGTCACATAATGAACAGACATCAAACTAAACAACAAGTATAATCAGTCAGCTTCACAATATCACGAACAGAAAAGACAAGTGAACGCTGCAGTCAGAGAGCTTTCATCAGCGCTTACATAAATCTTTTTTTTTTTTTTTTACGTATCCAGAAACCATGAGTTGTAAACCCTTTGGCTCGGTACTATGGATATCGCAACCCTTCGGCCTTGATTCCATTATAGGTACCGTTAATCTGGGAGAAATGTGGCTTTTCTGCCTACCCCCGGGAGTGAACACGGACCACAAGGAGTTCGTCACCAGGCCTCCGCGAACGTCAGGTTTAACCAACTTCGCTAGAGAGCCGGGTCTTACATAAATCTACACATGATACCAGAGATACGAACAGGAGCATACACAGAATCAATTTACTGACGTAATTTCGGTAACAATCACATTTTTGTTCAGCCAGTAGAATATCTGACACGTGTATGGCTCCCGGAAATTAATACTGGCCAGAATAAGCCGTCAATGAAAAGGACTGTAATTCAAATTTATTAGATAAAACTGTGCTGGATGCTAAGTTCCCTTGGTGAATTGGGGCCTATGAGGTGGATAAGGTGGTTCTCGAGAGACTTGGGTACTTTATCACTGAATTGGCTAAATTTGATAGCTGTAACCTCTATGTCGGGGACACCTTGCTGTCTGTGAAAGCTGAAGTGCAGCGGTGTGTGAAGGTCCCGTACTGAACACCAGAAAGATGTTGCCTGAACTCGTCAGCAAGTCTTAGCGCCGTTTGACCTATACATTTCATACAATTTCTCTCTGAATGATACTAATCACAGTTTTCATCTTGTGGGCAGCAATTTTTCGTTATTTTGAAGCCCCACTCTGGCTCTTGCAGGGGCCGCAAAATAGCCTGACCATAAATGTGGTCTGGCTGAACGCGGTTTCCGGGACCTCTCCACGGGTGATCCTCATCCGCATGGTGGCATTTTGTGTCATCGGGTGTTAATCGCTTGTGTGATGTCCTGGTGGGGTAAAAGTACTACTACCACTTCTCTTGTAAATGAGGGCGTAAATAAAATTGCGGCTGGTGCAATAGAATGCTTCCCGTGTGTGGGAGGTCATATTAGAAATCCCAGACTAGCCAGAGGAGCCACACACGGACAAGTCTTGCACATAGGTGTCTGACACGACCGTGCCTAAGTGGGAGTCAGAGATGGGGTGTAAGCTAGGTAGCAGGCGGAGAGTCGTGGAGCTCTAGCGGCCAACCTTTATTGCGAAGACGGCACTTTATTTGACTTTCCTATCTCCAGCTGTCTCAGTAATGTTGGGGCAAGAGTAGGGGTGTGGGGTCTTGTTGGTATTTATATTGCTATGTATAAGTTAGTCTTTATCGTTCCATTTTAATGTGGTCTTCGTCTTATTGTTCCTATTCTTCAGAGTGGCTTCCTTTGAAAGATTGTACCCGACTGACTGATATCGATCGGGCAAGGTAAACATTAGCATAACAATGAGAAAGACAGAGATTGTAAGAATAAGCATGTGGGAAAGAATCAAAAAATGAAAATCAGGAGCGATAGTAAGCGAGAGTGAGAGACTGACAGTGACCGAGATGTTTTCAGAGAAATTATGTACACAGAAACAAGTAGCTCTACAGAGTCATACGTTACCATGGAGACAACCATGCTGTAGTATTGGCTTATCCTTGTCATTGCTGCCCCGGGGTCGTTGCCACTTCCCTGGAGGTACTTCCGGTAGATGGAGTTGTCCACAAGGACCAGAATCCCCACTTTTGCTTCAACTTTGCGCATTCTATGCCTCGTCGTGTCGCAGGGTCCGTCCTATGGGCGAAAAATGTAAAAACACTATATATATATATATATATATATATATATATATATATATATATATATATATATATATATATATATATATATATATATATATATATATGTGTGTGTGTGTGTGTGTGTGTATATATATCAGGATTTGTGACTGTCTAGAACATGATAAATTGAATTTATACCCCACTACGAACACAAGGTGGAGCTGAACACCGCCCCTTCTATTAGAAAATATGTAAAGGGACTGAGCTCCCTTATCACTCGAGCACCCCAAAACAAATTTCTTTGTAAAGGCGCCCCCGCTATGAGTTTAAGTAATAATTGTCTAGAATACCAGGAGATAATTTATACTTGTTTAGAACAGAAAAAGAAATGATACTTGTCTTGAAAAGAAGTTAACGTGATAATTGTCTAGAGTAGAAAGTGAATTGTAGCACAGCTGTCTTCTTTGTGTATGCTGAAGTCAGTTAAAGAATCTAGACGAAGAGAAAGATGGTCTTGTCGACTGTGGTGATAATGATAAGGAATTGCTGGTTACATGCTTCTTAGGTCATTCTGATACTGTATAATAACATGTCTTAAAACAACCATTCTTTTCAAATATACTGTCTTTATTGTCATCTACAATTGCGATAAATAACATCAGTAGTATTTTGAATGACAGCTGGTCTCGCTCTACAGTTATATTCTCTGGATGTCTGGTGTGTTCTTCATCTCTACTTACTTTGCAAACGGTTTCTTGTAGCTATAACTGCCACCTGGCTTCTAGTGCTGTTTGGTACTACCGGTTTGATCGTCGACTCTATCATCTCAGTAGTTTATCTGCCAAATGTGTCTCTGTTGATCATGGAACTATTTATCTTGACTGTTTTCTAGGTAGCTCGATGATTTGTTTCATGTCTCGTCTCTAGTGACTGTCTTTGAGGCTCCAAATGACTGGTTTCTCTTTTTCTAAGTCTCGTAGACTGAAGAATGAAGATTTGCGAGGGTCAATGTGACTAGTCCCTCCTCTTCTAAGTCTCGACGTCTGAAGATTGATCACGTGGTGTCTTACCCACTATTTAACTGAGAGCTGGCACGCGTTAGATGCGTTTCTACTCTTCTAGAAATCTCTTGTATACTAAAACTTGTTTACTCCCTATGTTCTCAAGTGGGATTCTCTAATTGCGTCTCGACTGCATCAGATAGCTCTACACCTAAGTATACTAATTTAATTGACAGCTGGCTTTTTAGAAGTCTTCTAGAACTTCCAGAAAGCGAGTGCGTCAAGGCTCTACCTGTCTCTCTCTCTTCTCTATTGCTCTCTTTCTCTCTCTCTCGCTCGTTCTCTCTCTCGCTCTGTCTCGCTCTCTCTCTCTCTCTCTCGCTCGTTCTCTCTCTCGCTCTCTGTCTCGCTCTCTCTCTCTCTCACTCTCACTCTCTCTCAATCTCTCACTCTTTGGTAAGGCACGTCAAAGATTACATCGGATTATTTTTATAACTAGATTATTCATTTGCAAATATCTCTATTCTAATAAACATATGATGGTTCTAGCAAGCGAATGTCAGGGTTGCTAAGACTTGTTGATTTTTAGTCTATCCTAGCTGTGCACAATATCCTATCTCCTGTCAAACATGTGATGGTTCTAGCAAGCGAATGTCAGGGTTGCTAAGACTTGTTGATTGTTAGTCTATCCTAGCTGTGCACAATATCCTATCTCCTGACAAACATGTGATGGTTCTAGCAAGCGAATGTCAGGGTTGCTAAGACTTGTTGATTGTTTGTCTATCCTAGCTGTGCACAATATCCTATCTCCTGACAAACATGTGATGGTTCTAGAAACCTGTCTTGTACACAAGTTGACGTGTCAATTGACTAGAATATAGAAATTAAAAGTAGGCATGTTTCGTACAGAAGTTATTTAGAATATAAAGTGTTTTATTGATAACTGTAAAAAACTAACAATAAATTAAAGGGATAATTGTCTACTATAGAAATTGAAGCAATAATTGTTATGTATAGAAATTGAAGCAATAATTGTTATGTATAGAAATTGAAGTGATAATTGATTTGATCACAAGTTTAATTATTGTCTGGAACAGAAGTTGATATTTGTCTAGACAAACTAAAATGATAATTGTCTAAAATAGACATTGAAGTGATAATTGTCTAAAATAGACATTGAAGTGATAATTGTTTAAATTATAGGTTAAAGTGATAATTGTCTAAAATAGACATTGAAGTGATAATTGTTTAAATTATAGGTTGAAGTGATAATTGTGTAGAATAGACAATGAAGTGATCATTGTCTAAAATAGAGCAAAAGAAACAAAGGAACAGCCGGTCTGGGTAGCAGAAATCAGACCATGCTGATATCACTGGAGTCTGTTTACGGCAACTGCCGGAAGCTGATATCAGGTGCTTGTGCCCTTCCCAGACTGAGTAAATGTAGGTCAGGGACAGGTAGAGAACCACGTGATCTGTAGCACTCACCCTCGGACGTAGCTGACGTCATCTGGTAGCTTTCGGTGAGACTGAATGTAAGCTATCAGAGTAGAGAAGTGGCATCAATGTGTAGATGTAAGAAAACAAAAATACAGAAACAAATTTGAAGCAAACACGGTATTGCAGAGGTCACTCTAGTCCAATGAGTGCCAGGATAATTTGGGCTGCACTTTACCTTCACAAAGGAGACGGTGAAATTAACGAAATCAGACGGTACATAAAATGATTATAAGTTTAAGGCAATCATGTTAAAGTGTACATGTGAGAAAGTCCACGCCTTAAAACGTATAGTCTACTTACGACGCCCCTGCCGCCCCCCCCCCCCCCGTGTTTTTTTCAATAAGGAAAATGGGTACACGTGACGTTAGTTTCCCCACGCCCCAGCCTATGTACACAATAACTCACTTCTGACTGGTAGTTCCTGACCCGTCAACTTGGCACAAGGTTAAAGGGGTGTTCCGCAATGCCGCTGATATCGCGTGTTGTATACTACAGCACGCCAGCGCTTTTAACACTAAAAAGAACATGGAAAAACTGACCCTAACACAACCCCCTTAGAGAGTGCTGAAACCTATGTCACAGGCATTCTCTTTCTCGGAATGAAAAAGTAAATGCAAGACAACGCAAAAAAGCCAACAACAGAGGGGGACACACCCGTAACTTTCAGTAAAGTCGAGCAGCCCAACAAACTTGTGAATGAACAGTAACCTACTCTATTTCAGGAGATTAAAGTTACTTTAACCGGAAAATAAACACAGAGCAATGAAAAGACTATGAGAGGGGAAAAAAACTTAGACAACTGAACACAAACTTATACATTGTAATATAAATAGCAAGCAGACCCCCTTCCACTCATGCCCCAACATTTCTGAGACATCTGGGGGACATCTGTGTAGCTACATTACAGTTTTGCAGATTAGAAAAGATCTTATGTTCTTGTTTCAACATTGTTGGGATTAATCACCCACACCCTTACACATCCACTGGTAGACACGCCCACACACACACACACACACACACACACACCCACTAACACTCACACACGCACACGCACGCACACACACACACACATTCACACACACACAGTCACGCCACGTGCACTCTGGCACACGCACAATGGTGTATAAAAACTAAAACTTGTCACAGAGTGTGGCGTGGATCTCACTCAATGTAACAAAACCAGTAGGCCAATTTTCAACTGCTCTAATTGAGAAAATAGAAGCCCTCAAACAGTGATCCCTTACCTGCTGAGAGATGCCGACGTTTGAAGATACTCGCAAAGGTTTGGGCGTAACTGCCCGGTCGTTCTTCATGATGCTTCTCAGAATAATTCTGAAACAAAAACAAGGAAGAATTGTGGTGGATAACTGAAGTGAAGCATTCATGATGTTGTACCACGGTGTCAGCTATAAACTGAACTTGAAAGCCGAGAAATAAAGCCTTCTTGGGGAGGTGAGGAGGCTGACAACAGTGAAAGCAGGGAGGGGTGGGGGGGGGGGGGGGGCAACAAAATTGAAAAGTAGAATTAGACAGGCACTCTTTCTCTCTTTCTCTCTCTCTCTCTTTCTCTCTTTCTCTCTATTTCTCTCTTCTCTCTCTTTGGCACACTTATATACGCACACAAATTCAATCACAGGTGACAAAAATAACGTTGCGGTTAGAGAGTATCAATAAGCGCACACCATGGACAATGATACAGCTATTTAAAAAAAAAAAAATTACACAAAAAAGCAACGGATTAAAGACTAAAGGTCATTCCAGGCCTAAATAACTATCCACGCTGGGAAACTGGACTTGCTAACATGCATTCTCATGGCACTCTTACTGTACTCTCAATGCACTCTCCTCACAGTACTCTCATCGCACTCTCACTGTACTCTCACTGAAATCTCACTGAACACTCACTGCACTCTCACTGGACTCTTATTGCACTCTCACAGCACTCTCCTCGCACTTTCACAGTACTTTCATCGCACTCTCACAGCACTCTCTCTCTCTCTCTCTGCACTCTTGCAGCACGCTCTTCGCACTCTAACAGCACTATCCTCGCACTCTCACAGCACTATCCTCGCACTCTCACAGCACTCTTACAGCAGTCTCATTGCACTCTCACAGTACACTCATCGCACTCTCATTGTACTCTCACAGCACTCTTATCGCACTCTCTTGCACTCTCACAGCACTCTCATCAAACTCTCACAGCACTCTTATCGAGATCTCACAGCACGCTCACAGCACTCTTCTCGCACTCTGACAGCACTATCCTCGCAATCTCACAGTAGTCCATTACACTCTCATAGTACTCTCACTCAGTCTCACTGTACTCTCACTGAACTCTCACAGCACTCTCACAGCACTCTCTGCACTCTTACTGAACTTTCACAGCACTCTCATAGTAATTTCACTGCACTCTCACAGCACTCTTACTGTACTCTCATTGCATTCTCACAGTACTGTCATCACACTCTTACAGCACTCTCACTGTACTATCACTGCATTCTCACAGTACTGTCAGCACACTCTCACTGCACTCTCACAACACTCTCACCGTACTCTCACCGTCCTCTTACTGCACTCTCACTGTAGTGTCTCCGCACTCTCACTGCACTCTCACAACACGCTCACCGTCCTCTTACTGCACTCGCACGGCACGCAGAGTACTTTTTAACATGCCCTAGTCGCATGCAGACAGTAGACATGAGGTGAGTAATAAAGGGGCATAGTTGCTTGAGTACCTTTTACAGGACGTTGCAGAACCAACTCCAGCCTTTTTTGCCTGTTGTGGTTTTTTTTTTAAGGCAAATTTTACTTGCAGTAATATTCCATTGAACTAAACGGTCAGCTCTCGGTACCATTCTTGAAACCAGTGCAAGACGGTCTGCTGCCAAAACACCAGCAGCTGGTTACGAACACGGGCCCCGGCATTACGAAGCACGTTCGCAAAGCCTTAGCCACAAACGGGAGATAACATATATCTTATTTGTGAAGTAATCATGAAGAGAAGAATTGCATGGCCAAGACACGATAAACTCCAAGTAGAGAGTAAATGAAGGCATCTCTGGTGGCAACATTAAAAAGTAACTAGCAATAACAGTTATAACATGAACAGATCTTGAGTTGAGTTAGGAATTTCACATCACAGCACGCGGGGTATTCCCATACCCGTTCCTTCCCCATCCTCAGCAGCCAGCGCAGAGTTCCAATACTAATGGACAGATCTTATGGTGGATGTAATGTACTGTGTAGATGACTCTTCCTACGAGATACGTGGACAATACGCAGACACGCTGAAAAACATTTACTCGTTGCTTAGATATGATTTCTGAGAAAAATGCAAAGAATATCATGGAGTGAAAGAAAAAAAACGAAGCAGTCTTTATCGAGACAGATGGTGATAAATACCAAAATGGCTTGGCCATGTGGATGGGACGAGACAAGATCATTGACGTGATCCCTGATTCTGGCGATCGTGTGACATGGCCCAATTATGACCGCCTACGATTACCGGCACAGCACCTTATGATGATGATGAGACAGAGACAGGAGACATAACAGCCAACCTGTCATAGGGACAGTTAGTTGAAGTACCTTGGAGTGGCTGCTGCATCGGAGGATTGAGCACGCATAGGAATACCCGATGTGCAGTGACATCGATTGTCATAACATTATATGATAATGACTGAAGTGTTTTTCTTCTCAAAAGTCTGCGCCGTGAGGTGTTGGTCCATCATGTCTTCCAACAGCTTTCTGTCACATGTACTGCCAATCGCTTTGGTACACGTGCTCCTCTTTGCTATGTCAGACTGTCTAAAATCTTTGCCGTTGTCAACCTCCACCAAATCTTTCCCCTTCCAGCTTTTACGTTGTCGCGACGTACCCCAATTTTCCTCTGCTCAAACTGTGCCCAATGAAGGAGAACTAACTTCTTCTCATGTGGGTAAGCTGTTCTCTTTTGGGGTGGACTTTCTTTGAAGATATCTCTAATATTTGGTAATTTCTCAGAGCGAGGTGGTGTGAACAAAGAAGCTTGGAGAAAAGTAACGTGCGGTGAATAGACGATCTTTAAAATCAGATCTCAAACCAACATCATCAACATTGGAGTTCTTGATTGACCACTGATAGTGAGATGGATAGGTTCTGGCAATGTCACAAGTGCAGTGATGTCTAATAGGGACTCATAATACATTCATTCATCCATCTTCAAAAAATTGCACGTACATGTATATTCTTACCTGACAAACTGTTGCCGTTGCTCGTACTATTGTGTCTGATGATTGGTCAGGTTTCATTGTGGGATTTATTGATACTGTTGGGTAATGTCGTGGTAGCTCTGGTGGTGGTGGTGGTGGTAATAATGATGATGGCGTCGACGAAAATAACAATGACATGAAGTTTCGTGATCTAAATCCTTTGTTGGACTGATCCTGTATATAAATTGCTCTCAAGCACGAGATAAATATACTCAAACTGTTGTTACACTTCACTCGACAGTCCTTAGTTCTCTTTCTGAACCACATACTGGTGACAAGTTGACGATGAGACGTACTGTCATTTTTGTGACTAATAAAAATTGATTTCATGTTTCCTTCCTGCTTTCGCTTTTGTCTTCCTTGGAATGATTTGGCAAAATTAGTTTCTGAAACCTGAGAAACAAAGTTTAAATTCTTGGGGATCTTGAGCTGAGATTTTGTATTTTTGTTTACCATGAATAGGGAATGTCGATGATCATGAAGTGAATCTTCTTTGTAGAGAAACATGGTACCCAAGTTCATTGCAACCGCAGTTTGAGCACTCCACGACATTGCTACTGTGATCTTGCTGCTTAACTCCAAACGGTTAACTATTTTATTGAGCCACACCAGCGGGTTGACAGTTTTATCAACCGACTCAACGGGAAAGACGGCTAGTTGCGGACAAATTGTTGTCATGGTGAAGGTTGCGCCGCTTGCAGTGTTCTCTCTTTCCATTTGATTTGATTGTTTATTGACTGGTTTCAATGACTGGTCTGAAAATTACCGATAAATAAAACTGTGTATAAATCTGAAGCGGTAATTTCAAATTCTACTTTAAGAAAGTCAAAAGTCCAAGCCTTGGAGAGTATTGTATTGTTATTTGCATACTTCTTCTATCTGTGACAAAAATGTTGCATATGAAGGAGTAGCATTTCACATCTTGAAGTAGAGCTTCTTTTTGTTGTTGTTGTTGTTGTTGTTGTTGTTGTTGTTGTTGTTGTTGTTGTTCTTCTTCTTCTTCTTCTTCTTCTTCTTCTTCTTCTTCTTCTTCTTCTTCTTCTTCTTCTTCTTCTTCTTCTTCTTCTGCTTCTGCTTCTTCTTCACCTCCTTTTTTACTTCTTCTTCTTCTTTTAATTCTTCTTCTTTTTAGCGTTCACGTGCTGTAAACTGCGTCGGAAACATCTGGTTGTTCGTCCACATCTGGACTTTGGTCTTGTTCCAGAACCCGAGCTTTGCACAGCCGTTTTACAGATCTAGCGTATTTATATGTAGACCTTTGGTTCCTTGCCTTTCAGACAGATGCACTCTGACTTTGAAGGATACTCCCCTAATTAGTTGAATCTTACGACATGCTTCTTAGGAGGCAGTGTGTCTATTCTTTGTTCTCCAAAATGGATCCCCTGAACCCACCTGGGCAACAGTGGGTGTCGCAAAGGGAGAATGGGTCACTGTTTGCTTGTTTTACCCTCAATATAGTTGTCTCCCCCTAGTCGATTATTAGACCTCAAGGTCGATTATCTCCCATCAGTGATGTTTCTTTTGTGTCTGTTTCTTGCGAGTGGAAGAACAGTAGTTCATTAAATCATTGAACTATTCTGTCATGGTGAGAAGTTTTTAGTCGTCCCCGTGTGAGATGCAATTTATTGTAATTTGAAGCCCGACCCTGGCTTTTGCTGGGGGCCCTAAATATAGCCGGGACATAAATGTATGGCCTCACGGCTGAAAAGGGTTTCTGGGACCTCTCCACGGGTGATCCTCATCCGCATGGTGGCATTTTGTGTCACCGGGTGTTTATCGCTTGTGTGATGTTCTGGTGGGGTACAACTACCTACCTACCTTATGTCATGGCTCATTGAATGTCTTGTGGAAGCTGCTGCTGCTTTCATAATCTAATCTATAACTAGTTAGAATAATAGAAGTGACAACATTTCAGAGAAAGGATGCTACAATAAACAGAACGAATTCTTATTATGCATGCACGAGACAAGGGCGGTATTTAGGCAACGTGCAACATGTGCAGCTGCAAAGGGGCCGTAACATGCCACAGCTTATTGTTGGTAATCTGTAAACGAATAGCGATGTCGCAGTTCAGCTGACGGAGGTAAAGGGACCCTTCTCCATACCGTTACGATATTGGGCATATAGGGCTAGACCTATATTTTATAGACCAATCGGCACTCGGTGTGTGATGTAGTAAACATGGCCACCTTTACTTCCCAGGTATCTACCGGGTACCCATTTAAGGCTGGGTCGAACTGGGAGCCAAAGTACTTTTTTTTTAATGTCTGGCTCTGTCAGAAGCTGAACACAGGACTTTCAAATTAGCAGGTGAGTGTCTAGCCGCTATACCACGGAGGCTCCCCTAAATGACTGAAGATGGACGCAAAATAAATAACTGCAAGTGAACGTCATAACTGCACGTGAGCTTCATACGTCATAACTAGGGCCCTGTCTACAACAAGTGACTGACTAACACCTCCACATTAAAGACAGTAGCGAACTAGGCTTCATACAGATCATTGTTAATTACTGTTTTCTTTTCTGACGCAGATTACCGTCTTGCTCCAGAAGGTGAACTCGTTGCTCCCACGGCACGGTTGAAAATAAAATAAAAAACATAACCTTATCGTTTTGTTGACGTCAGCTGATGCGAATACCAGGCCGCCCTATCAGCTGACGTCAGAACAGTTGTCCTCATCTGTTTGCTGGCAATCTTGTGTCATAAGTCTACAGGCAGGAGATCTACACCTGTGTACTCTACAACTAACTGCCTCAAATCAACAAGATAAACAGCAAGCAATCGGTGATTATCTTAGCCCAGACATACAACTGGCTCCAGAAACCTTCATTCGAAACCCTTCCGCTTGCAAAAATAGTTCCAATCTGACATACTTCAGATTTCATTCTTGCAGGAAACATAAGTTTTCTTCTTTTTCTTCTTCTTCTTTTGTACAACTGCTTGTGCCATCAAGTGTCACAGAGAGGAGTTAGATGTAGTTTCCTGTCTTTTTGCTAACAGTGTACTCTGTGTTAATGTCATATTGTTTTTTTGTAGTTCCTCTTTTACTCCATCACCCCATCTCTTTCTTGATTGGCCTCATGCATTATAGCCTTGTTCTCATGTAGTACGCTCTAGCTGCTGGCTGCTTTTGTTCTATTCTGGCCATATGACCAAACCCTTTGATTCTTTGGTGTTCTATGAAATCGTTTACAGCTACTGTGCCTACCAATGAACTTAGTCCTTCGTTGGTGACTAGCCACAAGTCACTAATGCAGAAAGACATGTTTGATTACGGTGTTCGTGGTTTAGGGGTTGTGGGTACAGTTCTCAACCTTCAGCTACTTCCAGCTTGGCACAGTAAGTCTGTACCGTAATGTATAACACCTTTGCTAACAGCAAAGGGTCCAGGGGTGTCCACGTATACCGGTCCAAAACAACAGCTCGGTCGTGACAGTTCACAAGGCGCGACAAGTTGACAAAGAACTGATTGCCTTGACCTTGTGCAGAGATGAGACTGAAGTTCTGCACAAGACCATCTATCTGATTATCTTGCTGATCTTAACCTCTGCGATCAACATTTTTTTAAAGGTATGAACAAGCAGCAAATTGTCTTTGTTTGTAGGCATCATTCTGTCAGCGCAGCTCTAACAGACACTTTGAGAAGAGCACTGGTATCATTTTTAGAAAGGTTGTGATGTGTACCTGTGCTGAATTTGTTTTTCAGTCCATGAATGTTTCTCCACACATCCCGTAGTTAGTTGCTTGTCCTTTCCAGACAGAACAAAGCCCACTATTTGTTGGCTCTTGTGGTTTTTCTAGGTACAGCATACGTTCAGTAGTTTGCCATGGCCATCTCAACAGTCAGCTCTCAGAAAAAAACTGTCAAAACCAATGCAAGGCGGTCTGCTGCCAAATCGCCTGCTGCTGAGATCGAATCCGGCACTTTGTAATTCCAAAGTGCATTCGCATTGCCTAAGCCACAAACCCAGGTAGGATGTGACAGCTATAGTAGGTAGGTAGGTAAGTTGTACCCCACCAGGACATCACAAAGGCGATAAACACCGGGTGACACAAAGTGCCACCACGCGGATTAGGATCACCTGTGGAGAGGTACCAGAAACCCCGCTCAGCCGTTTAGGCCATATTTATGGCCGGGCTATATTTAGGGACCTCGTAAAAAGCCAGAGTGTGGCTTCAAATTTTAAAAATAAATCCATCGTAAGTAGAGAACACTGTAATACTGACTGACTTTCTACCCCACTAGGACATCACACAAGCGATAAACACCCAATGACACAAAGTGCCACCATGCGGATGAGGATCGCCGTGGAGAGGTCCCAGAAACCGCGTTCAGACATTTGGCCATATTGATGGCCTGCCTATATTGCGGCCCCCAGCAAAAGCCAGGGTGGAGCTTCAAATAAAAAATTTCATCCTGAAAAGGACAATAGATATAAAATAGACTGTAATAAAACTCCCCCAGCTTATTACATTTCTATACTATAAATTACAAACCCTTCCTGATTTCGTGTGTTCATTTAAATAAAGTGTTAACTCCTCCGAAAACGTGACCACTACACGAGTTAAACTTTCAACTGCCATTATGACTAGAATCTTTAATTTAACAGTCACACTGGCGGTCAGCTTAATGTGCATTTCCTTTATTTATTGCAACAATCAGTAGAAGTAAACTTTTGCTGGACATATATCCCTTTGAATTATTTGCCTATTACTTCCCCTCAAAGAGTAATTTTAAAAAGTTATATTTCACTCTGCTCTCTATCGAAGCCACATATATATACATGTCTGAGGCAAAACATGTGTATGTCTCCCAAACTGTTAAATACTGGTATTAGTGTTGCAGGGAGTGCTTCGTGTGCGCTTAGGGATAACGACTACAGATACGGTAGCGGCGGAGACAAGGATGAAGTAGAACACGGGATATTATATATA